AGATAGAATTCAGGTACCTGACGGCCTGCGGGGGCGCTCTCTCTGCAGCTCGGGTCTGTCTGGACCTGCCCAATCTGATTCCAGAGCCTTCTGAGCAGGGAAATGCTGAGTCACTGGAACCCAGGCTTAGGGCAGGCCCACAGCGCGGGCCCACAGCGCGCGGGGGGGGTGTTTGCCTGTGGGGGCAAATTGGAGGTGCATGCACCTCCCCCTGGTGCCAGAGGCTGGGAAGGAAAGGCAAAGCGTGGTCCTGCCTTTGCCCAAACTAACTTCTAACTTAGTGGTGAAATTATATCAATGTTTAAGAGTTGATCACAGCCTTTCAAATGCACAACCCATTAAAAACATCTGTTTACAGCCCTGGATGGTGTGGCTCAGTGGACTGAGTGCCAGCCTGCAATCCAAAGGGTGGCTGGTTCCATTCCCAGTCAGGGCACATGCCTGGGTTGCGGACCAGGTTCTCCGTGGGGGCCACACAAGATGATTTTCTCAAACACTGATGATTCTCTTTTCTCCCTCCTTTCCCCTCTCTCTAAAAATAAAAATCTTCAACTTGGGAAAGTTTAAAAAGACAACCACAACATCTGTTAACAAAATAGAACTTTGAGGAGAGTACTAAGATCTAGCTCTGATATGAAAGAGCTGACAGGCTTAGTTTGGTGTGGCCGCCATGACCCTGGGGCGAAGCAAGATTCAAGATGTTGGCAGCCTCTTTTCCTGGGCCTAGGACTTCCCCACATTGGATCGCCTGGGGGCATGTGTGAAAAAAACAAAACGCAGATTCCAGTCATTGCCCAGGTGTTAAGAAATTGGTATGTGAAGGGATTCTCACGCCTGCAAGTCTGAGAAACACTGTCTAGCCCAGTAGCCTGTGGATTAATGACTCATACAAGGCAAGGAGGCCTTGGCATCAGGCCCTCCCCCACTGCTAATCTGTTTAGACACCGCAAGACCTGATTCCAACGAGTTAAAGAAAACTCTTAAGTATGTCTATAAATCCCAGTAGACGGTTGTGCTCGTCAAATGCACCTTGGAGAATTAATAATACTCTGTTGCTTCAAAGACTGCCTTGGGCACCTTTAGGACTGAGCAGTTGCTGAAGCAGGCCCGCCCTATCTGGACGTTTCTAATGTGCAGAGGTTGCTGGGAGATGGCCCCCGGGGTGGCAGGAGCCTGGGGGAGCTTCACTGGGCCTGGAGGAAAGACCAGCTCAACCGATTCAGGAGTGATAAATTTGGACCCGGGGATGCCGGACTTCTGCATTTCACATCCTTCATTACTGTACCAGCCCTCCTGAGTTCAGACTGAGTTCATGGTCACACGTGTCCCGAATAACACACATTTACACAACAAAGTGAGAAACCCTAGGCCTCTTCCAAAAAAAACACGGCGTCCTGCTTTCCTCCTCCCTACCTCTCCACTACCTCTGTAGCCCTCCCAGTTCTCTCTGAAGGAAAGCTGTACCTGCGCGGCTTCTATTCAAAATCTTCCGAGTCACCACATCAAGCTGATGCACCCTGGTTTGACATTCAGGGCTGCTATAACCCGGGCGCAACTTCCCTGTGGAAAGCAGATTAATATGGTAGCTCCCAAAGTTGTCCAGAGTCTAGTATTTGGAGCGTGTGAATGTGTTATGTGGCAAAAGGGACATTGCAGATGTGACTAAGGATTTGGAGACTTTCCTGGACTGTGCGGGTGGGGCCTGATCCAATGCTCTAAGACCTCAAAAATGGGAAACCTCTCCCGGCTGTGCTGAGAGAGACACGATGATGGCAGGAGGGTCAGACACTTGCAACATTGCTGGCTTTGAAGATGGAGGAAGGTTGGCCAGTCGAGAAATGAGGGCGGCCTCCGGACGCTGGAAAGGGCGAGGAAAGGCATTCTCTCTGGAGCCGCGAGAAAGAACTGCGGCCCTCCAGGTGTCTTGATTTTAGCCCGGTGACACCATTTGAACTTCTGTAAGGTAATGCGTTCGTATTTTTTTTTTTTGAAAGACACTAAAACTGTGGTCCTCTATGACAGCAATAGAAAACAAAAACATTCCTCATGGAAGCTTCCTCCCCCCACTCAGTCTCTGGCTGGTCTTGCCCCAGATCCCGTGTGTCCTCGGTCCGCAGCTGCCCTGTCCCGGACGCTGGGGCCATCTCTCCCCCAGGCTCCTGTGCACAACTGCCTTCCCTCTGCACTGTCCTCGGTACCGGCCACCTGCTGGCAGCACTCAGTCCTCCGCCCGCCCATCCCGCGGGCTCCCCTCTAGACCGCAAGCTCCTTACACGCGGTGTCTGTGATTTATTTTCCTCTGGGCTCCACAGAAGTCTGCACAATGGGCCCGGGGCTGCCTTCTGGAGAAGCCCTGGTTCTCAGTCTCTGGCTGCATAAGGGTCACCTGCAGATCTCTACAAACCCCGAATCTACCAAATCACTGTGGAAGAAGGGGAGACAGGTGTGTATGTATTACTGGGGGAAGATTTCCAAGGTTCAGAAAGTCAAAAAAGCAGGGAGTTGAAAAATGAGTAGAATATGTTGTCATTTGTGTGAAAAAAGGGGGAAAAACAAGTATTTATTATAATTAAAAAAATTGACTATCACCCTGGCTGATAGCTCAGTTGGTTAGAGCATCGTCCCAATTTGCCAAGGTTGCAGGTTCAATCCCTGGTCAGGGTACATACAAGAAGCAACCAATGATGTATAAATAAGTGGAACAACAAATTGATGTTTCTCTTTCTAAGATCAATAAATAAAAATTTTAAAAAATTGACTATCTTTGGAAAGCTATAAAAATAAGAGAATATAACCCCTTGCAACTTTCTGAATTCTGTACCATATATACATATTACCTGTTCACAAAAGTAAAATTAAAAAAATTCAAAATACTGACTCTAGTGTGTCTCCAGAAAGGATCCAGGAAGCTCCAGGTCTGGCACAGGAGCTCCTTCTAAAGCACTGTCTGCCAGCTCGTTTCCAGTCAGGAGCTGACTGTCAGGAAGAGGGCGGGGCCAAGAAGCAAAGGATATTTGGAAACATAAACTGAAAATGTACTTAACCAGAAAAAAAAAAAAGAACACTCCAAGAGATTGGAAAGCCCTGGGAATCCACTGATTCAGTCCTGCCTCTGCATTTGATGGACCAGGAAAGAGGAAAGTAACTTGCCCAAAGCTGCACAGCCAATCAGAGGAACAGGTCGGGGCCCCAGGAATGTTTGATGGTGACGATGACATTGACTGTCAATGACATTGACATTGACCCTGCTCACTCACAGGGCAGGAGGACAGGAAGACAGAGAAGAAAACACCATCTTTAATCAACCCACCTGCACAGAAACCAGGGGAATGTTCCCTGCCGTGCAAGGCCCCAGTGAGAACTTGGCCGCCTTGCAAAAACTGTCCTATAAAAACAAAAGGCTTTCAAAGCACCAGTGGCTAAACCCCTTGAGTAGAAGGGGGTTTGGGGAGTGGGTGTGAGATGACAGCTGGCTGTGGGTAGGGGAAGGGAGGGCTGGAGGCAGGAGTTGTCTGGGTGGTAGGGCAGCAGCCAGGCCCGAAGGGAATTTTCCGCGCCTTGAGCTGCAGCCTTTGGTTAACTAGGCTGACCGCCTGGGACCACGGTGCCTTGGTGACCGGAGGAGTTCATGGGGGTGGCTCCCCGGCACAGAACTGCGTTGGGATGGTGGGGTGCGGTCTGAGCTCAGGATGTCTTGGCCTTAAACAGCAGGGAATACTAGACTGGAGGGCAGAGAGCACGAACAAAGTAGTCACCACAGTCGGGCTCAGCTGTGCACTATGTCTGCACTTCCCCCAGTTCCCTGATGCCTCCCACCCTCCCTTACCCAGGGTCCTCCTATTTCACAGACTGGGAAGCTGAGGCCTGATCCTCCTGCCCTTGGTCTCACCAGCCAGGGCACAGGATGCAGAGTGCTAAGGGATGTCTGTGGAAACAGGTGGGGAGAATGAGCTCTCATTTCTACTTGCTCTCAAGGAAGGGTGCTGACCCTCCTGACCCCTCACCATGCCCCACACCTCCTTTCTGCATCTTCAGAACTCCTGGACATTGGAGTGGTCATAAATACTAGCAGTCTATGAGTACTGGTTCTGACCAGCCCTTTTCCACTCTTAAACCATAGGTCTTCCAAATGACCAGGTAGATGGAGCTGTCAGGGGTTGGTGGAGTTGCTGAGGGGGTACGAGATCGTGGGGGTAGCAGCTTCAGGGACCTGGAAGCGGGTGTGGAGACTGAGTTGCAGACCCCCTTTCCTGGACCTAGAAATGTCTGCCAAGGGTGGACAGAAGCCTAGTCCAGGAAGGCTTCCCTGTGGGTAAGGCTGGGTTCAGGGCTTTGGGCTCTGTATGTCTGGTTCCCAACAAGAGAACGGGTGTATTGCTTTAAGAGAGACGTTGGCAAGTGGTGGCAGTGACGTGGAAATGTGGTGTCCATCGCATGGGTTCTAGAGGGCCCAAACTAGAAAGGGGCTTGAAAATGGAACTCAGAGACCAGACACTGGGTTCTGGAGGCTGAAATTACAGAAAGTCCACTGTATTCAAGGCCTGCCTCCACCAAAAGCCTAGTTGTGTGGCCTCAAAGCAAATCACATCTCTGGGCCTCAGTTTCCTTATCTGCAAAATGGGGATTATAAGGATTATAATTCTAGCCTAACCCAGGGAACTGAGAGTCAAATGAGAGAAGGCTAGAAAGAGCTCCATCTGCTAAGGGATAATTTTAATCGTTTGAGGTGGGGAAACTGAGGACCAAAGAGGGCAAGGGCCTTGCCAGTTGTCACATAGAGTCAGTGGTGAAGCTGCGACCGGAACCCAGGACTCCTGCTCCTATTGCCCGGTAACCTCGCTCAGAGCTGGTGAGTGGGCGTGATGAGGTGGGATGAGTCTGTCCACCCTGCCTTTACTCTCGGACAGTGGACAGATGCTGCGTGAAGGTTGAAAGGGAGAGGCTGGAGAAGGGAGGGAGGCCCCAGCCCACGCCAAGGCTGAGATAAAAAAAATACAAACCTCCAGAGTCCCCTCCCTTGTCCCACCCCGCCCCACCCCTGAAGTCCATGCTGTAAAGGGCCAAGTCCAATTCCGCAGCAGACCTAGATCAAGCCGCGCAAACTGCAGTCGGCCCGCGAGCCGCCAGGGGGCGCGCCTGCCATCTTGGCCCGAGTTCGAGTTTGTGGCCACAGCTGTCAGTCTTGCCACAAAGCACGTGACGCCAGGATGGGCGCCGGGCAGAAGCTACCCCGACCTGCACGAAACAAAGGCAGATTAGGAAAGTGGACCCCTAGAATAAGGGAGCAGATTGTCCCGGCTGCTCTTCCTCCCTCCCTCCCCTTTTTCCGACACTAACGCCCAGGTCCCCCACCCCGTTCTGCTCAGCGCCTGGACCCACGTGTACAGAGGCTGCAGTTGTAAATGCGACGTCTTCTGGGGCGCCTGGTATCCGTAGGAATCAAAACCACCGATGAAGTCAACTGCAGAAGGGGAGGCGGCACACGGTTAGGAATGGGCCTGTTGCAGGTGAGTTATAGGCTTTGTTTTTTTAAGGGAAGAATCTGGGGGTACACCAAGTTAAGGTCCTTAGGGGTGGGCCTTAACTTGCTGCCTGAGGGATGGGCCTAGGCGGGCGGGGACACAGAGGAGCTCAGCCAGTTCCCAGACTAGACCTTAGGAGGATAGAGAGAATGGGGGGCGGGGCAGCCTTAAAAGAGAAGTCTCTTGGGGGGAGGGCTCGAGCATTTAAGAGAAGGGGATGGAGGAGTGGGAACCCTGGGATTGGCCAGTGCCTCACAGGAACCAGTCCAGTGGAAGCCCTGCAAGAGGCAGGGCCTAAGGAGGCGGGTAGGGGGCGGTGCTGGGGTCTTGAACTGGACTCCTGGACATCTGGGCCTCCGCCCGGAATAGGCTGGCTATGCAAACCCTTACCCACCCCTGCTGCCTCTTCTTCCCTCCCTGAATGGCCGTCCAAGGGCTCCCTCCCATGAGGCCGCTCAAGGCCCTGTCCAGGGTGCTGAAGGCGCGGGGAGGCCCACGGCCAAGTTTTACCGCCTCCCTAGGGGCGCCGCCCACTCACAGCTGTCCTCCTCCTCCAGGAACACTTTGCTCACGTAGCAGGCGAACACAAACCCGAACAGCTGAGGGAGAAAGAGGGCGGGGAGAGGGAAGCTCTTCCTGCACCCTGTGCCGGGCCCTGCCTATCCGGACTGGGGGAGCAGGGTGCACTGAGATGAAGGCAAACCTGTAACTTCAAGTTAACGACTGGGTCTTAAAGTCAAACATACTTGGTCCCAATGTCCCTTCTGGAAGTGTGAACTTTGGACAACTAATTCTTTGACCTCTTGGAGCCTCAGTTTCCCCAGCTGGATCTGGGCACCTTACTGGCTTGTCAAGAGGAAAGAGAATCATGTGACTTTGTATATGTAAAGGGCTGGCCCTTCTAGAAATGAGAACTGTTATCTTAGAGACATTCTTATTGTATTTTTACAACCTGTTTGGTTGATATTGTCGTCCTCTCTTTTTGTAATACACAGGAAGCATATTTTATTTTTGAACTGATTTAAAAAAGAGAAACATCAGTTTGTTGTACCACTTATGTATGCCTTCAGTAGTTGATTCTTGTATGTGGCCTGACTGGGGATTGAACCCACAACCTCGGCATACTGAGACAGTGCTTTAACCAACTGAGGTACCAGGCCAGGGCCTATCATTCCTTTTTTTGACTGAGGAAAGAAGCTTGGAGATGGCAAGGCCCGCAGTGGGTATACTGGAGATTTAAACCCAGTGTTGACTCATGGTTTCATGCCTCATCCTATTCATTACGTCTGCTCATTCCCTGAAGGGGGCTGGGGCAGGGGTGAAGGGAGGAGCTACAGGGTACAGAAACACTCAGGCAGAAGCACAGGCAGGCTGGAAGACCTAGGTTTGGCCCTTCTTAACTAGGGCTAAGCAAAGGGGTTTGCAGATTCTACTTTTGGGGGTGTCGTGAGGTGGGGGGACAGGATGACTCACAGCCAGGAAGATCTGCAGGGCGCTGCTGAGGGCTTCAATGTAGGGATAGTCAAGCAGGCAGCCAGTGACAGAGATAACATGGTGGTCCTCCAGGGCCAGGCGAGAGTTCAGGACAGGTGTCACCAGGCAGCCTGGCCCATTCTCCATCCACCAGGAGCGGTGTAGGGATGTGTTGAAGGTCATGATGAAGTCCCGGTCCTGGGGGCAGAGGCCTAGAATGCTGAGCTGGGGTGGGGGGATCCTCCCCAGGTCACAGGATGCTGTACATAAAGCCTACTTAACATCTGGACTCCCCTGGCTTGATTTGTGGAGGGCATGGGAGGTGGGGGGCGGATGGGGAGTCTGTCTCTGCAGATCCACATGTAGCCAGTAGGTGGCGCCCGATGACCACGCAGGCCTCACTCTTTCATCAACGGCAGAAAGTGCTGGAGGTAGTCAAAGGAACCCCAGAATTTCGGGGCTGGAAAGGATGTTAACAGTGACCAGATGCAATTTTCCAGCCATTGCTGAAATATTCAATACAGGTCCTTTCACAGCCCATTCAGCCTCTCCGATGCTCTCTCCATATGTGACCCTGAGCAAACTTCTTCCCTCTTTGGTCCTCAGTCTCCCCATTTGAAATGCAGAAATAGCTGGCCTCCATCGGAAGTCACTATCCATGGTGTGCTCACATGGGTTCATCAGTCCGTTTGCTCACACAGGCCACTAACAAATGTCCACTGTGTGCTGACAGGTGTCAAGCGCTGAGATGTGTAATCTCGTTTATGCCCTCAGCAATCAAAGGAAGCCTGAGTGGTTCTTATCTGCACTTACTAGATGAGGAACTGAAGCTCAGAGAGGGCAAAGCACTTGCCCAAGGCCACACAGCTAGAAATAGTAGAGCTGGGATTTGAAACTACAAACCCAATGCTCTCATTCATATCTGCTGCCTTCCTTACATCTAAAAATGGAAGTTGTGCTCTCTGGGCTCGCTCATCTCAAAGCCAAATACTCCTTTCTTCGGTATTTCTCCACCTGACATGGTCTGTTCAATTTTTCCTGAACAAACTCTACCTACTCTCTTTCTCTTCTGAAAAATATCGATTGGCACCGGACTCAAATCTCCGTGGTCTAGACAGTAGAAAGTGCGTGGGATTTTCCCTGAACATGCACGGGGCCCCACGGTAGCTTTCTGGGCCACCACAGAGTGTTGGTTTCTACTGAGCTTGTTGTTTTTAAAGATTTTATTTATTTATTTTTAGAGAAGGGAAGGGAGGGAGAGAGGGAAAGAAACATCAATGGGTGGCTGCCTCTCCTGCGCATCCCCACTGGGGACCTGGGCCGCAACCCAGGCATGTGCCCTGACTGGGAATTGAACTGGTGACCCTTTGGTTCGCAGGCCAGCACTCAATCCACTGAGCCACACCAGCCAGGACTCTACTGAGCCTGTTATCAAGTGGGACCCCAGCCCATCTTCACACAGACTGATTTTCACCCTCATCCGCTCCATCATCATTTGTGTCTGAAAAGTGCAGAGGGGGCCAGAAACAAAACTGTGGGGTGGGGGATGGAACACAGGTTATTTGGACGTGTAGAAGGAGATTTTTCCAAGAGATGACACCCCCAGACCCACACCACCCTGGGAGCCCTTAGGGTGGGGGATGGGAAAGGTCAGGCTCTGCCCTCTGGTGCTGCCAGGCCTGAGGCTTACCTGGGACAGCTGTCCAACCTCCAGGTAGAAGCAGATGATGAACGCATTCCAGCCAACCCAAAGCACTAGCCAGGCTGCATACTGGGGAAAACAGAGGTGCCGTCAGGGTGGGGTCTGGGGGAGCGGGTTTGGGGTATGTGCACGGAAACACAACAGATGGACTGAGAAGACATTCACAGGGGAATTTATGACCAGACGTCACTCACAGAGCACCGAGAACAGTCTACAGATGATTTTTGTACCCATCCGGCCTTCACAACAGCCCTGCAGGGAAGGCAACGTCCCCTCCACAGAGATGACTACTTTAAGGCCTAGAAAGGGTCTCTTTTCCAAGATCACACAGCGAGAGATAGGGCTGGCACGTGAACCAAGTCCTTGGGTAGTTAATACCACCTGTTCCGCAGAGAACAGTGGCCCCTAGACATGGAAAAGAACTGGAGAAAAACTGGCTATTTCCACGCAAGCCCAGTGCCTGCGATTCCAGCAGCTGACACCTGACAGGCAGGACTGTCCACACAGGTGCCTGGGGCTTCCGGAGACCTGGAGAGAAGAGTTCTGGAATCTTGCTCAGGCAAGAGAAAACTCTAGAAGGTCCCTGTTCACCTGGCTGCTGGAAGCTGAACCATGGCAGGTGGGCAGAAGCCCTAACGGGGTGCTAGTGGTTTCTGGTGGTAGGGACACTGCATCTTTGTTACTGTAGGGGTCACGCATTTCTGTAGTAAACGTAAAAAGCTTTTTCCCTCAGGAGAGGTGTGTGAATGGGTCACTAAGGAAGAGCAGGGGACAAAGGTGAGCTGAAACTAGGACTATGACAGAGACCATCAAGGACCAGGACTTAGAAAAAGGAAGCAGACAGAGGAGCCAGGGACTTCTTCGACTCTTGGGATGGGTGTGCAGGTACGGACCTCAAAGCCACTGTTGACCACATCTTTTTTAAGTCCTCACCCAAGGATATATTTATTGATTTTAGACAGAGTGGAAGAGAGAGAGAGAAACATCCATGCAAGAGAGAAACTTGGATCGGTTGCCTTCCTTACGCTCCCTGACCAGGGATCAAACCCACAACCTTTTTGGTGTACAGGGTGATACTCCAACCAACTGAGCCACCTGGATAGGGCTAGACCATATCTTTGTTTGTTTGCTTGTAAGATTTTATTGATTTATTTTCAGAGAGAGGGGAAGGGAGGCAGAAAAAGGGAGAGAAACATCAGTGTGTGGTTGCCTCTCACACACCCCCTACTAGAGACCTGGCCTGCAACCCAGGCATATGCCCTGACTGGGAATTGAATCAGTGACTCTTTGGTTCGCAGTCCAGTGCTCAACGCACTGAGCCACACCAGCCATGGCTAGACCATATTCTTGATGAAAACAAGAGACAAAAGCCAAGCTTTCCTGAAACAACCTGAGGAACTAAACGAGACCAGGCCCCTCCCTCCCACGGGCCCCCTGAGGCAGCGTGGCAGTGGGCAGGAGCCTTCACTCTGGACCTGATGCTCTAGTCCTCGCTCTGCCGCCAGTTAGCTGTGTGACCTCAGGAAGCGACGTAGCCTTTCTGAGACTCACTTCCTCATCTAGAAAATGGAGACGGTACCATAAACCTTCCAGAGCTGTTGTAAAGATCCAGGAAAGCACATGAGACTCTGAGCAGAGCGTGTGACCCATAGCAGTCACTCGCTGAATAGCATATCATGTTAATATTTGGATTTTTTTCTCTAGGAAATTCTCTAGGACAAATATCCACCTTGTCTCCTCTGAACAAAGAAGCATTTGGGCATCATACCAAACAGGGTTAGAGGCAAAACAGAGCAGGGTCTGGGTGTCCAGGGTGGGAGGCAGTTGTGGCTGTAGGCAGGGGGAGGTGTGTGGGAGCGAGAGAAGGGGCGTCTGGGGAGGGGCCGCATGCGCCATACCAGAATGAGGTACCGGGAGCGGTAGTGCACCGTGCCGAAGATGCCCAGGATGACGGCCATGATGTGCAGGAAGTTGGCTAGGATAGGAGCCCATTGGTAGCCCAGGAAGTCAAAGATCTGCCGCTCCAGTGCAGCCACCTGTGGGAAAGAGCAGACTGAGGCCACATCACCCCCTAAAAGGGGCGGACGGGGACTCCTCCTTGACCTTGTGGAGAAGGTTGCATCAGTGGCGGCAGTAATGAGGCACCACGGCCTGATTGTGCACAAATCTCAGAGCCATCCCAGCCCCGCAGTACCAAACGGATGCTGGGAGGTGGGGCAAGTCTGTGGGGTGGGGGGGACTAAGCCCTGATCATGACTTCGGGGGGCGCTGAAGGAAGATGGGAGCCAGGGTCCAGAACACCTGCCTCCCTGCCAAGAGGGCCTTCCCTCTGGCACCTTCCTAATGTGAGGCTCTCAGTGGGTGGAGTCAGGATCCAGACTCCTCCCCTCAGCCCTGCCCGAGGGGTGAGCCCTGACCCTACAGGCCCCAGGAAGCTGCTAGGTCTAAGTCACAGCTTCCCTATGGGGTGTGGGGGCCACAGAGAAAGAGATTTTTTACTTCCCTTCCCTGAGGAAGCTGTTAGGGAGATTGCAAAATTGTCCTCAAATTCTTCCTGTTTCTATGCTCTTTGGCGGAGCCCAGCCACGTTAATGATGTTCCTGGTCATGTGACTTGCTTTATCCAACAGGAACTAAGCAAACGCCAAGCAAGTGAAGGCTTGAAAAATGCTTGTGCACTGCAGCTTGCACGCTTGCTACACTTGTAACACAGAGGTGACCTGCTGGATTACGAAAGGCTACACGGAGGGGCTCCAAGGCACCCTAGCTGACCAACAGTCAACCATCACAGCAGGGCCACAGTGGCTCATCCGGGTGCCAGCAAACCCACCAGCGGGGCACAGACACATAGCCCAGACCAGAATAATCTCCCAGCTGACCCACAGAATCATGAGCTGAATAAAATGGTTCTTTTTAATACATTTTGGAGTGATTTGTTATGTAGCAAAAGCTAACTGATATACGATGCAATCAACACTTCCTTTCTAGCAGCCCCTAGTTCAATCTTTCAGCTGATAACACTTAGGAACAAAGGTGCCAAGGGTACTTACTGATCTTAACAGACAGAACCCATGTCTTGTTTTGGAAGCTGCCTCCCTCACAGTCCATGTGGCTTGGGTGGGGCTCAGCCCACTTCCAACCTCCATAGAGGGCTTGTGACCAATGCCCAACCAAATACTCCACACACGCTGATCTGTTCGGAGATGGGCACGCTCTGTGTGCCCCGCTCCTGTGAGTCACCAAAGCTAAGGGACAGAGACAGAGTGAGGAAGGACAATAAACAAGCAGGGAGAGTGCTCCTGGTGACGTCATTAAGGATCCGGCCATGTCTAAAATCATTGTCCCTCTCTGTACTCGTGATTTCTGTCACTTGCCACCAAGAGTCTTGCCTAAATAGGATGGGAGAGAGAGGGTCTGGGTGAGAAGAGGAGGGAGACTCTGACCAAGTGGAAAGACCCCAGAAGCTTGTTTCCTGGCAGGGAGGCAGGGGAGGGTGGAGCTGATGCTGCCACACAGATGGCGGGGCTGGGCAGAGGCCCCGGAAGCCGCAGGCCCAACCCTGGCACCCACCCACGTGGCGCCAGCATGTCTCCTGTTGGTGACTCCCATCCCAGGGCCCTGCAGGTTGTAAAGAGCGTTCCAAGTTCATCCCCCACTGGATACTCCTTGGCAGAAAGGCAGAGCTGAGATCATTATCTCATTTTGGAGAAAGACACCAGGGGGCTCAGAGAAGGGAAGTGACTTGCCCAAGGTCACACAGCAGGTTGGTGGCAGAGCCAGGCAACCATTCTGTCTTTCTCTGCCATCTGTCTCATCTTGGCACCAAAACACAACCTCTCCCAGGTGGCAGTGGCCTGGGAGTTACGAGGTGTATTTCTGGTTAAGATCTGACATTGACCGCAGGTGACCCTGGGTAGGCCACCTTCCTGCTGGGTCTTCTATACATACAGGTCACTGGACATATGACCTCAAATGGCCCTTCTGGTTTTGACTCCAATGGCCTGCCGACCTTGGGGGAGAAACTCCCCAGGCTGCTCCCCCTGCCAAAGCTCCTGCCCTCCTTCCATCTTCTACCCCGACTCTGCCAGACTCTAGGGAGCCTGGTGGTTTGGGGTCCAGCTTGATGCTCTCACCTCAGCTAGCACCTGGTCCTGGTAAGGAGCCACCAGAGGATTAAGGACTGTGACAGAGTTGCCCAGGCTCACAGTGTAGCCGGGGAGACACTCTGCCTGGATACGCCTGCCTATAAACATGACATCACCCCACTTCCCCCCGGGCCCTGCTCAGCACTCCTCTGTGTTTTCAGGGACCTCACTGATGGAGTTGGCAGCACGAAATAGCCACCCCCCACCAAAAAAAGAAGTTACCCCCCACTAAATCTCAGGTTCAAATTGTAGCCCTGCTGTGTGACTAAGGGCAAATTACTTTCCCTCTCTGAACCTGTTTCTTCGCCTATAGATAGGAAAGATAGTCCCTCCCCCAAGAAGTTGTAAGGATATGAAGACATCACATGAACTATCAAACAACTAGACTTAGTAAATAGTGCTAATTAGTAGAAGACAAATAGTAGAAGCTTCTTAGTTTGGTATCGAAGGTTTACTAGGGTCAGGTTCAACCCTCTACTCCAGGTCAGCTCAAGCCCCCAAGTCGTTGAAATAACAGTTGAAGACCTGCTTTCATTCCCCTTTCCCCATCTCCAAACCCCCCTGGTCTTCAGAATGCAGCACCAGTCCCTCCTTCCCTAGGAAGGCCTCTTCACCGGCCCAGTCTCTTTCCACTGAATACGAACCATCAGGTGCTCTCGTCCCTCTCAGCCGACCCCCCTCCACACACCACACCCTCACTTGTTCATCTCCTCCCCAAGAACACTCCTCATCCATCCTCCCGACATCTCCATGCCTCGTCCGTCCAGGGTCCGTCTGTCAAGGGTCCACCCGGCACTCAGTCACAGGACGTCTGGCCGGTGGCAGGCCCTGTGCTGGCACCGGGATGCAGAAGTGACGAAGTCGTGGCCGCTGCCTTTTGGCAACTCAGGGTCCAGCAGAGGAGATGGACGGAAAACTGGACAGTCATGAACCGGGGCAGTCGGCATATAACCCAGGCCCGAGTGGGGGCCATATGTACATATGTACATACATATGCATGGTATATATGTGTGCCTGCATATACTCGGTGTATTTAAAATTGAGATTCAGAGCATGGTAGTGGGTTTCTGGAGGGCCCTTCCCTGCGGGCCTCTCGTAGTGTACCCGTGCAGAGTAAACTGCAGCCTCCAACCATTGCCCAGCCTCATCTGTGGGCTCTGAGCACTGAAGGGGGTTGTGAAAAAAATTGAGATTCATTGTCTCACAAATAATCAAATATTCCAAAACTCCTGCTGTGCTGCAGGATATGCAGCTAATTAACGAAGACCAATAAGAACAACAAAGTGAGGGAATAACCCCCCATCTGGTTGCTCCAGCTGAGAAGTGATACCCGAGGGCTGTGCTGATTGCGGTCACGACGGCCTTGGTGAGCCTCTTTCACTTTGCCGACGGGAACTGTGCGGAGATAACAGAAACCCTTGCAAAAAATGGTAAGCACACACACTGAGAGACAAAACCACCCGGGGACATTTCTGCCTGGTCAGCCCGTAAGCCAAGTCAGCCTCTAGCTGCTCGAGTCTGTCCCCAGAGCGGGCTGGTACAGAAGCTTCTTGGGCAACCCATGCAGCCTCCTCCCCCAGCTTCTGGGAGAGGGAGGCTGGCCGCCATCAGTGTCCAGTACCTTTTTCAAAGTACGAATCCGGTTGGGTCATTCTGCTATAGAGGCAGCCCAGAGAGTGTGGGGTAACCCCTACAGTCTCGGAGTCCGCCAAGTCCCCAGCCATACAAGTATCCCAGACAAGCAGGACAGGTCCCCAGAACACAGTCCCAGAGTGACAGATGAGAACAAGATCCTCTCTGGGTCCTACCCACAGAGTAAGTCCCATACAGCTGCCCCATGGTCCTCTCTACCCTCCGTCCCCACAAGGCTTTGTCCTGCTGTTTTTGACCCTGCCCCTTTTCTGAGAGCCCACCCACCCGAGCAGTGTCCCTGTAGCTTCAGGCCTTTCCCTGAGGGGTGCCCCGCCCCTTGCAGGCTATGCCTAAGAGTTCCGCTTCTTCTGTAGTCTTCTCAAGTGACTCTGTTTCTCTTCTCTCACCCCATGTTCCCCCAGCCCAAAGGTAAATTTGGTATCCTCTGTGGTCACCAAGCTGATCGTGGAACCATACAGCCGTGTGGCCTTGCCACCTTTGTCCACTGCTGGCCTCCTCAGCCGCTGGCCTCAGGTCTTGCCCCTTCTTTGAAAGTGAGTTTCATCCACTCATCATTCTGGTCGACTCTGACATCTGGGGCCACTCCATCTGGCACCCCAGTCTCTCGGTCTCTCAAACGCCTCTCCTACAACCTTCCCCGCCATTCCTTCTCACCTGTCCTCACCCATCAGACTGTGTCATCAACTGTAACTGCCCTGCCTCAACAGCCTCCCTCAGACCACCCTGCTGGCTCCCCAGCAACCTTCACACCAGCCCCCAACCCCACCCCTCTACTCTGTCCCATCCCCCGGTTCTTCACATTCCAACTCTGAACCTGCCGGGACCCCAGGATCCCTCTTTCAACATCAACTTCGCCTGCAGCCCAAACTCCCGTACTCCTCTGCCTCGTCATCCCACGTGTTGGGAACTCCCACATCTCGGTGCACTCAGTGAAGTTTTCTCTGCTTGCAAAGCATCCAAGCACCGTTGGCGGAAGCCGCTGCAAGAAGGCAGGCTGGGTCCACTGCCGATCTGTAATCACCGACCTCAAGAGGCGCCCGGATGCTGTCCCACCACCCTACTGGCCTTCTCTGGGGAACTCACCTCCTCAATGACTATTTTCAGATCTTGCTGTCCTCAACCCTCTTGGGAGGACCTGTCTCCACCTGCCTAACCTGCTCTATTTAAGGCACTGACCCTCCTAAATGAGGCCAGTTCCTTCGCCTGCACTCTGAACCCTACCTTCTGTCTTCTCAGGTGTCCACACCAACCATGGTCCCTTCTCTCCTATAAACTCAACCTCCCCCTGCCCACCGGCTCCTAAACATGCTCAAGCCTTTCCTATCACACACACAAACGGCCAAACAAATGTCCTCTCACCCCTCCCAGCTAGTGCCTTATCTGTCTCAACGCTCTCGTCTAAAGGTCTCCACGGCCGCCCTGCCACCTGCTCCCCCGCCCACTGGCTACTACAGTTTGGTCTAGGGGTTAGGAGCAGAGCCAGGGTTAGAATCTTGGTGCCACTGGTTTTTATACAACTCGGTTAGGGCGAGTCACTTAACCTTCCTGTGCCTCAGTTTACTTACCAACAAAATGGGCATGATCCACAATACAGTTGTGAGGAGAGTGTTATTTAAAATTATACACCCCTGCAGAACTCCCTGCATCCCCACTTCTTTTATTTTTTCCATGGCACTTATCATTGATTAATATCCTACCCACAGCTTCTATGCTGTCTATTTCCTGCATTAGAAGGCAAACTTCATGAGAGCAGGGATTTCTGCCTGCGACGTTCACTGCTGTGTGTCTGGTGGGAGGGCCATGCCTGGCCCACTGCGGGTGCTCAAGTCAAACTCACTCTCCATCCTCCTGTGCACTCCAGCCCCTAAATATCAAATATCCGGCGCTTTCTCACGCTCCCCATGTGCCTCAGCAAACACACACCTGCCCAAGCTCCATGGGCTACCTGCTCATGTTTCAGCCTCCAGCCCTTTTGTAACCAATGAATGACCCATCAGAGGGCTCACCATGAACTCAACATGCCCAAACCCGGTCCATTTCCAGTGTTTTGGGGTCCCATGATGCGTCCAGCTGCATGAGCTAGAGCGCTAAACTTTAGGTCTTGCTTTCCCCGCTGCTCCCTCACTTCCATGCTGGGCCTGCCATCAAGTCCTGGCTCTCCGATCTGCTGAACCTCTCCCACGCCTGGCCACTTTTGTCCCTCCACTGTCTTCTTTCATCTGGCCACTGGCCATTGCAATGCCAGCACCCCCACCCCAACTTCAAGCCTAACCCACCCTTCTCTTTCCAGAGTGAATCCTCCCTGAGGCTCCCCTGCTGCCCCTCCCCCTTCCCTTACCTCCCCACCCCCACCCTGATTATTTATTTATCTGGTAGCTGCCAGCTGAGGGGGATGCAGTTGCCATGGGAACCTTCAGCCCTGAGTCAGGGCTGCCTCTGTTCTCAGTAGGATGCTCTTGTCTGTCTAGACGCCAACCCCAAGAGCCCAACACCAGGTGGGGGGCAAGGAATGAATAATGGAGATGGGCCCACCCCAGCCCCGGGAAGCTGGCTGGGGGAGAGGGCAGGGAGGGGGTGGGACTTGGGGCCACAAAACTCATGAGAACTCTTTTGTGCCCAAGCCCTTGCCCAGCCAATCCTGCAAGTCAACTACTTTCCTGGCCAAAATTCCAGGCCTGTCACCAATGGGACTTAGACACAGAAGTCAGGCTGTCTGGGAAATGATGAGGGAGAGGCCCCTGACACTCGTAGAGGATGGTTCGGTCCAGCCCGGTACTATCTTCTTACCTGACTTTAGTTTACAGAGCGTTGAGCTGGGAAGAGTTCCCCATTTGGGATTAGGCAGACCTGGGTTCCATCCCCAGCCCAGTCCTGGTGTGACTGGGGCAAGTTCTCACCCTCTCTGAGCCGAGAAGTGTCCTAAGGATTCAGACAGCGCACATAAAGCTCTCAGCCCATTGCCTGGCACACGGTCGGTGCGCAGTATACGGCCCAGGCTTTTCTGCATCCCCAAACTGAAGCCCCCCTTTTCCCAATGGATTTTTGAGGCAGCTGACAAAATTAAACTCGACTCAGCCCCTCATCCGTGAAATGAGGGAGTGGGATTGAAGCCATGGACACAGAGCTGGGAGGACCCCTGGAGATCTGCTGGCCCAGCCCCCTCGTTAGGGCGGTGAGCACACTGGCAGCAGAAAGGGGCTTGACTTGTCTAAGGGGAGGGTCTCCTCGCCCTTCCTGAGCTGCGCCCCCACCTCCAGGGCCCATCTGGGGTCAATGTGGTTTGAGCAGGAGCTGAAATAAACACCCAATGAGAGACTGAAAGGGGCGCAGTCATGGCGGCCAGGTAGTCTTCGCCAGGGCCAGGGGAGATGGGCTTCGCAGGGACGCGGTTCACGGAACAAAGAGCACCTGCAATGTGCCAGGCCTTGTGCAGGGTGTGTGGTCAGGAACAAGTTAGTGCGGCTCCTGCCTCAGGGGCTTCAAGCCTGGGGACAGAAGCCACAGTCCTCTCTCTGGGAGTCAATGACGGGGGTCCCTCTGCCGGGTTTCCCACCGAACACACACACACACACACACACACACACACACACACACACACACACACACTCCTTTTGTTCTCCAGCTCCCACAGCCCTGCTGTCTGTCCCAGCCTGGATCTTGCTGGAAAATGGCCAAAGCAATAACTGTTAAGTGAAAAAAAACAAGCTGCAGAACAATACGATTCCATTTGTGTTAAAAAAAAAAAGGCCAAAAAAGAGAGAGAGAGATGCAGTGTGTGCCTGTAAGTGCAGAGTCAAGAGCCAGGGAAATACAACAAATGGTTATGAGCTCTCTCTAGGGAGCGGGAATAGGGAAATGGGGAGACTTTACTTTTAAATACACACGCTTCCCCCTGTATTTTGGAAATGGTTTTTACAACAAAGTTACGTTTTTTTAAAGATTTTTTGTTTATTTATTTTCAAACAGAGGGGAAGGGAAGGACAGAGAGAGGGAGAGAAACATCAATGTGTGGTTGCTTCTCATGCGCCCCCTACTGGGGACATGGCCCATAACCCAGTCATGTGCCCTGACTAGGATTTGAACTGGTGACCCCTTGGTTCACAGGCCGGTGCTCAATCCACTGTGCCAGCACAAAGTAATGGGGTTTTTTTTTTAGTGATTTTATTTATTTCTTTTTAGAGAGAGGGGAAAGGAGAGAGAAAGAGAGGGAGAGAAACCACCTGTAAGAGAAACACTGATCAATTGCTTCTCTCACACCCCCAATCCAGGCATGTGCCCTGGCTGGGAATCAAACCAGTGACCTTTCAGTTTGCACTACAATGCCCAACCAACTGAGCCACACCCGTTAGGGCAAAAGTTATGTTTTTTCAAAAAAAGCTTTTAAATGTTGACTTATCGCTTAGACCATGTAAGAGGTGCTGGAGGGGCTCAGAGGACCTGAGGTCTCCTCCTCTGAGCCTCGGTGTTCCCATCTGTACTGTGGGGGGCATCTGGAGCTCCATACCACTCTCTAGGCCCGGTGGCGCCTGCA